CTACCCTGGCCTGCAGCAGCTTGTCGCAGGCCGCGGTCTTGACCTCCTGCACGCCCTCCTCCGTCTCATTGCTCATCAGGTGCAGCTCCACCCCGGCGCTGTCCGCCAGCTTCTCTATGGAAACCCGGTCCTCCTCCCTGCGATCGATTCCAGGGTTATGTTCGTCACGGGACGGTTCGAGCTCCATGAAAGAGCACTACCCTCACGCGTGGGCAAATCTGCTCAATTAGAACCGAGATATATTTGGGAACAATGCTACCTGAATTTCCTTTTCCTCTTGATATTTTCGATCTTCCGCGGTGCCTCTGATCGACTACAGACGAGGGGGTCATGAATACGACAATACAGACAAAATAACGCCTGCATACTATCGTGGTCCATCTCGACTCACTTGATATCGGCGAAGGGGGCGACGTCCGTCTTGTTGGCGATGACCAGCAGCTGCTTGTTGGCAAACAGAGGCTTGATGCTCTCGAACAGAGAGACCTTCGAAAACAATAACAAAGGCGTCAGATGCATAGGATCGAATCAAACAGCACCAACACCATGAACGAGAAAACCTGGGACACGTGAAGTACTACACACCAGGCTCTCTCTCTCTCTCTCTTTCTCTCTCTCTCTGTCGTGGCTCATCGTTCAGAAATACATACCCCACCCGCCACTCGCCCGCACCTGTTCCTTGATTGTGTAGCCGCACTGCTCGGAGATGTCGATGAAGTAGAGCACGCAGCACTGGAGGTGAGCCAGGGCCGTCACGGCCTGCATCTCGATCGTGTTGCGCTCCTCCAAGGGGTGGTCGAGGATACCCGGGGTGTCCACCACCTTGGTCGTCGACGGGAAGGGGAAGGAACGATTGAAATATTTGTTGTTGTTGTTGTTGTTATCTTCACATCAAAAAACGTTCCGTTCTCTCTACCCAGTACCTTCATCTGTCCGTGCTAGTCTAACACTTGACGGGGTCGATTCCCGTGTCACAGGCTAACTTACCCAAAAATAAGGTGTACGAAAAAAAAAGGGGCCCGAAGGGCCCGCGAGCCAATACAAGTCAGGAACATATCGTCAGGAGAAAAGATATACCAGCACTCGCATTGTTCACGCTTGTGCTGCGTGCGTGCGGAAGGGGAGAGGTTTTCCTCAAGACAAGAAGGGTGCCGGTTTTCTCGTCTTCTTGGAAGACGAGGCCAACGCCGCGAAATCACCGTCTAGGCTGGCCGACTAGATGGCGTGTCCAACTATTGGCGGCGGCAGCGTCAAAGGCAACGCCTCTACCGGAAACACGTCGCCGTGGCACCGGGTACTGTACCCCCAAAGACGCTGGCTTCGCCTAGGATTTTCTACCCCTACCCAACCCGCCGCCAAAGACTCCATGGCTCTCCACAGCCATCCCTGGCCAAGTCGATGTCAACCGACATCTGACGTCACTTGGCCCCCCCGTATCCCCTCTTCGATGTGTGCCACCCTCCCGCCACCCCCACTATTCAAGGGCGCACACCTGCCAGCGCAGGTAGCGGTAGTCCATGTGTCCGACGTAAAGGGACTTGGTGGTAAAGGCGTACGGCTGCACGTCTACCTCGGCCCGAGTGACCTGCGATTTCGCGTTGGGAGGGGGGGGGATCGATGTTCAGCGTCTCGGTTAAGGCACAACGGCTCGCCTCTCCTGACTGACGTCAGCACACAAACACGGTCACTATCAAACCAATAGAGGAGGGGCGCGCTCCCTAGTGTGCGAAAATATGTATCGATACACGTGCACAGCCAGAAACAAAAATCGCGATACGTGTATCGGCCGATGATCGTCCGACGAAAAGGCAAACCATCCCTTCTTCGCCGACAAAAATCAAAGGTTCGTATGACGCTCTTCCCACGCTCGTTCCACCTCACGCAAAAGGTCCCGCGAAAAAAAAAAAATGTCGAGTACACATTCACACCCCACCGCAACATACACACGCAAGAGCATCCAGCCCCTCTTACCTCCTACCCAACCGCTGCTAACGAGAACGCACCTTGTTCATGAAGCTAGACTTGCCCACATTGGGGAAGCCTGTGAGCAGAAGGGTCCTCGTATTGGGGTCGAGGGCGGGGAGGCGGGCGAGGTGCCGGCGCACCTCCTCCAAGTACGAGAGCGAAGCCTTCTGCCTCTTGAGCAGCGTGCACATGCGTCCGAGCGCCGCCCGCTTGAGCTGCTTGCACCGGTAGAGCGAGTCGCCTGTGTATTGTCAACGTCCGAGGGGGGGGCGGGGGGGGGGCACGCAGCGGGGGGGCGTGTGTACTCGTGTTAACGCATGCCGTGGTCGCTACGCCATTCGCCTCGCAGCCCTACAATGCCGGGACAGAGCGATATGCTGTAGGGGGGTTGGTAACGACAATTCGCGTGGGTGTTTTACCGCGAACAGCCCTACAGAGAGCAACAACCAACAACACAAAAAATGGCACAAAAATGAACAGAATATCAGTCACAGCTGCGGGCGCTCACCATACTTAAGGAGTCGCACGTAGTCGCGGCTCAGAGCTTCGACAAGCTTCTTGGCCATATTCATCTGGCCCAGCGCCAGCTTGTAGTGGTCGCGATCGTACAGGATGTTGAGCAGGTCTGCGTAAAACGGGTGGATGTCCTGCACAAAATAGACAGCAAAGTGACAGCAAGTGTCAAGACAAAGTTTTCAAGAGGGCATGAGAACAAGTGTTCCAGGAGCAGTTGTTGCAAATGAACAAGATATTAACAAAGAACAAGGTTCGAGGACCAGCTGGCCGTTATTCGTTGCAAACATGGCAGGAAAGGCTTACGTCAGCTGTGGAGGGCAAGATAAACTGTCGTTGACCGCGTGACGAGGCATACCCGCTCCATTTCGACCCCCGGAGAGAAAATTGAACTGCAAGAAAAGCCGGCGACTCACGTCAAGGCGCGGGAAGTCCCCGATGATAGCGCCAAGCCTCTCGCTAATCGTCTCCTGCGTGAATTTGACCTTCCGCATGTAGAAGGACCGGATCCGGCTGATCTTGTAGCCTGGGTGAATCACTGTCGGCGTTTTGCGCTGGGAAATAAGCAAATTCACAGAGAACGAGAGAACGAGTGCAACAGAGGCGGAGTAGTAGAGAATGAAAGGCGAAGAAGAGGAGGCGGGGGGAGAAGTGTTGAATAACAGGGACTCGGCGGGATACTTGGGTGCACAAAAACTGCTGAGCTTGTCACAAAGCCGTCCAATGGTATGCGGTTTCCGTGGGTGCACGCTACTGGTGTTGATCGATGCGGGAGATGGACTGTTGAACCAGCCGAGCAAACGACCAGGCTAGGCCAAACCCATGCCCTTGTAACAAGGCAAACATGTGGTGATTCGTCAAGCAGCAGCAGCAAAGGCGGGCGGAACTGGCACAATCTCATCCGTCACCAACAACGACAAACACTGAATGCACCCGTCACAAACACCAACAGAAACATGAAAAAACGAAGACGACGACGACGACGACGACGACATCAGCGCCAACCAAGCTACCACTGCTGTCCACGCCTAAAATTCCATTCCTCGGAGGGCAGCACAGAAGTACCTACCTGCGTTCGGGTAAGGATGATGTCGATCAGGTCTTCCGCCGGAGGCACCGACGCCATCTTCTTGAAATTGTACACCACCATTGTGCCGGCCTCGCTTCACTGCTGTCGGAGATCGAGCGCGGGGGCGGAGAGCCGACAGGTTGCAGGTTAAAGCGAAAAAAATCGTGTTGAGTCTGGTTCGGAGGCCGAACCGTGAACCCCTGTATAGTGAAACCTCTTGGGAATACGGGATTGTTTTCCGGTTTGGTGGTGTTGCTTTTGTTGTTGTTGCTGTTGTTGGCTTCACATTGAAATAACAAATGGTGTGCGCCCGATACCTCTTGTTCCTTGTTGCGCTAAACTTGAGTCTTGGAAAGATGACACTCGTTGAACTTGACCTATGATGTTTACGTCTCTGAATGTGGACAAACGAGGTTCTTCCTGTGAAAGCATAAATACAGATGCATCCCACGGAGAGGATTTCACGTGGAGGATATTACAGGAAATTTGAAACTTTGTAGGCTTGCGGTGATGGCGAAACGCAGCCGACATACAGCAAAGGCAATTGCCTATCATAGCAGGCGAATGGCATAACTTGTCGTGGAATCCCACTCAGCGGTAAAGGGTCTACGCATCTGGACGTCAGTGCTATGCTATGTCCCACAGAATCCACCAACACACGAAACACACTAGCGTTTTTCGGAGTGATTTCTTTCTGTACCCTCCAAGCATGGAGACTCAGAGAAGGGTGGAACCATTGGCCTGTATCACCATGAGACTTTTCGGGCACATCGATATATACACCGACTAGGCTTGATCACGGGGGCTGGCCAGCAACTGCATGCATGACGCCGATGACGGTGGCATCATCAAGGCCGCGGGGCAAGACTACAGCAGTATGTACCAGGCCTCCGCCATTGGCAATGGAGCGTAGTTCTGAAGCATTTGTTGGTGCGGATGCTGCCAGGGAGCCGGTGCCACCACCTGTGCAACAACGGAACACTCCTACGGCGGTGCGGTGGCCTTTGGTCGCGCTTCCGCCGGTGGAGAATATCCCTGCCCAGACCTTGAAGGTTGCTGCTGTAGGCAGAGGCCAGGCGAGTACCTGGCGCGCTCTCTCTCCCGCCACCCAAAAGCATGACACGAAAACACACGTCGCTTCTCACCAAAAAGATAGCCGATGTGCTCGTGCCCACGCCCTACTATCCAATAGTCCAGAACTTCCTTCGATTGTGAGAAGGCTTAACCAGCACGGACGAAGCGCGTTGAGTCTGCGTTGGAGGCGCTCTCCAGTGCAGAGGAAGTTAGCGGGGCAAGCGATGATGTAGCAAGACTCTCTGCCCTTAGCTCTGAGATCGGAGAGCTGGTTCCGCCGCATTTTGTTTTTTTTTCGGAGACGTCGTGCCGCACTGCCGTAATTCCACCGCCATTTCTAGAAGCTCGCCCCCCGCCCTCTCGCCTCAACTCCGCCTTCCACCCTACGCCCATCACAAAGCCCTCCGGTATTCCACAGCTAGACACTCCCAACAACTTTTCGAAGGATCTTGTGACGGAAGAAAGGTCCTGGAAGAAGAATTTCAGCCCAAGTGTTGCAGGGAAAAAGAGATCCACAGGACACGAATTCACCGCTTGGCTCCACACGCGCAACATGGCATCTGGCGAGGGACCCGACGCGTGGCTTGGGCTCCTGAAATGGACCCTGAGCCATCAAGATGGAACAGAACCTTCAGATGCTCGCCCCATGGGAGATGAGGTGTGTGCTCCTGCTTTACGTCTTGCGGTTTCCTTGGACAATACTTTATGCACCTGCATCTCTCCACCTTGAGATTTAAGACGCAGGAAGCCAATAGGTGACGGGACTGGCATCGAGGAAGATCAAACACGTCGCTGGGGACTGGCTCCTCCTCAGTTTCCAATACGATTACCAGTATGCTGCTGGCGACGGTCCTCCCCAGATGAATGCGTGTGCTCCGATGGTTGGCTATTGAGGAGGGTTCGCTGCGGGCCTTTGTTGTCGCTCTGTGCACTGGTTCAATCTCCCCAAGTATGCATACAGGACCCAGAGGTTGACATAACTGCTGTCTAGTCACACACGGGCTGCGTATCTGTTTGGGGGGCACGATACATCGCACACTTAATCAGACCCAGAGGTTGGGTTATATTGCTGTGTAGCTTCCAACACACACGGGCTGCGTATCCGTTGGGGGGACACGATACAAAGCACACTTTACTGGCTGCCAGGTGGATGACGCTATACTTGAAGTATTTGTTATTCAGAGGTTGTAGCCAAAGAGCATATCCGTTTCACATGATACCTCTACAAGGATCGAGGCTTCCAGATACCCCCCCATGTGCCCCCTATCATCCCCGTTGTGCTAGGGAAACGATTTCGTATCTCATTACTAGACTCTACGCCACGATACTGTACCCAACAGATACCACGCCAACCGAAACGTCTTGTCAGAACCCCGTATTGTGCCCTCTTCCCACCGATTGCTCGACGCATTCTCATTGGTCAGCGAAGCTGGCGCGACTAAAATGAATGAAACGCTAGGGAGACGATTTCGTATCTCATTACTAGACTCTACGCCACGATACTGTACCCAACAGATACCACGCCAACCGAAACGTCTTGTCAGAACTTCGACCCCCGCCTGACCGATGTGTGCGGGAAACCTCTCGCGCCTTTTGCCGTAGGACCGGGCCTGGCTGGAGAAGGTCGTGAACGAGGGCGTTCGCGACGACTTCAAGACCATGACGGATATCTACTCCCGCCTCTGCGCCTACCTCGACCGCGCTGCCTCCAACCCGGCTCCTGCTCTGCCCTCCTGCGCTCATCAACTAGCCGGCGGTCAAGAACTCACCGCAGAAGGAGAAGGAAACACCGCCGTCAGCGGAGCAGGCGGCGCAACAACGACAGCCGGGACTGTCGGCATTGGACCAAGGCCCCCGAGTGACTTCGTTCCACCACAGCCCCCGCCAGCGACCACAAATGCCTCCGCTTCTGCGACGGGAGCCGTGCCTGCGACGGCTGCTGGCGGGGAGGGGGCTCTGTCGACCTTTACAGTCGTAGCCCCTTCGTTCTCCTCTCCGTCCGTGGGCCAGACGGCGGACGCAGCGGCGGCTGCGGGAGGGGCGACGAGCGGCAGGGTCGGGGAAGGGGGCTGCACCGCGGAGGAACTCAAGGCGATGGAAGCCGGCGTTCTGGACGATCTAGAGGTGATGATTGCGAGCTTTGGGTGCTCGTTGTCTCTCTTGTGCCATGTCTTCTACTTGTCCGTTGTGTTGCCGCTTTGGAGTGGGGCAACACTGTTTTCTCAAATATTGCTTGTTGAGGTCTTGTTTTTGGTTGCTTTTGCTGCAGTGTTGGGGCTGCCTTTCTTGCCCGTCAGTCCTGCATAAGTAGTACACGTACACCTGTACCAATCAAGACCAGAATCGTGGTCACCCGGTACGTGTTGTGTGGATACTTCGGCTGATGAACACATTGTCGGGAGCGAATGCGCTCCCTACAGCGCCGGTTGTGCAGGTGAATTGTCGTATGTCCTTCACAAGCTGGATATGGTCAAAGATGTTGACTTGCCTTTATCATATTTTCTCGTTTGCCCTATGCAGGAGCTCCAAGACATCGTGGAGCAAATTGATATGGCCGCAACTTTCGCCAAGATCGGCGGGTTCGGGAGACTCATTGCCCTTGTGACCCCCTCACGCAGGCCCGAAAAGGTGCGAGAGTGTACTGCTGCGTCTCTTGCCCCTACCACTTGTGACGTACATTCCTGTGTGAATTGTGGAAGAACTCGTATTTCAACTTCAGTTTCTACACACAGGACGCCCTTGCACATGTAGTACGCCCCCCCAATGTTTTGGTGGCATGACTGCAAGGTAGAAACAAGAGTGTCTTCGCACAACTTGTCTTGTATCTTGCCGCAAGTTTTCCTCCTCATAATTTTGTTTTCCCTGTGCATGACTATTTCTCTCTCTCTCTCTCTCGCTCTCGCTCTCTCTCTCTGATTCTCCTACTCTGGCGCGGGCGCAACAACTCCTGCAGCTGCGTCTTCGTGCGGCATCCTTGATCGCAACCCTGACCAAGAACAATCCACCTGCCCAGGTACGACGATTATGCAGATTCGACTTGTTTTCTTAGTTCGAGTTATTTATCCCTTTGTTTCAGAGCGAAAACGAAAAGGTAAAAGGTACCATTGCCCCGCCGCGACCAACGAAGAGGCCATGGAATCGTCCGCGTACCTCTTCAGAACAACTCACGTGGACGCCTAAGAAAGAAATCAACGATCAGTATTTTCTAGAAGTTCGCACAATGCCGAGCCAAGGTGCTTGTTTTCGATGCCGAACAACTGACCACGGTTCCTTTCTCGCTTTCACTACCCCCAATGTCGGCGTTGGCCTGTACGGGCGTCGCGAGAACGCGGTGGTCGTCGCGAGGTCTTCGGAGTAGTTTCGTCAAGCCTGTCGGGATGAGGCGCTGTACGTACATGGAGCACGATCACTTTTGTTGTCTCCAGAAGGGGGTGCTTACTCGCCGCCGTTCACACAGAGACCGCTCCACACACCGCTTTGACCTTCCTCTCCGGCCGCGCTGTTCCACCTCCCCACAGGCGGCCTTTTCGTCGTCCAGAGGGCACAAAGCACTCATCGAAGTTGTGGCAGCCCAGGTAGCGGCAGCAGCCACCTCACCGAACAACACCGCCTCCCCTGAAACACCCGGGGATGCAAGCGACGCGTCCCCGCCTTCGGCGCCGTCGCCGTCACTGTCGCTGCAACGAGCGATCCTGCACGCCCTGAGCTCCTCCGTCATGGGCCTCGCGCCGGCGGAGGATGCCCTTTGCCTGGAGCCGGGCTTCCGGGAGTTCCTAGCGCAGGCGCTGTCGCAGGCCAGGGAGGGGACCGGGGGTGCCACGGGGGCGGCAGGGGAGAGCAGCAAGCTTCGGAGCAAGGCTGCATTCGTTTTGAAGGTGAGTCTCCATTTTTGTTGCAGAAATGGGTGGTGGAACCGGGTTACGCGGGCATACAAACCGTTCGTGGAGGGGGTCGTTGTTATCCGAAGGCGCCCGACGACACGCGGAGAACCGTGGTTGACGAGGGAGCCGGGTGTGAGAGGTGCATTGGATGTGGCACCTCGCTTGCCGCAGTTGCTCGTTCCCTCGATGTCTTGCTGTCCATGTACGTGGCGTGGCGCCGAAGACCGCGATTGTGGGCACACCAAGCCGGCTCAGGCTACTGTACGGCAACTGCGTTGGCCGGAGTCACCACCTTTCCCCACACCCCAAATGGTGGACGTTCACGCGTGGGTTGGGCAATGGAGAGAGACTGGAACCGGAGAGTAGTGTGCTGTTCGGGGGAGGGCTTTTAATCAATATAAGGACCTCTTCAGATCTGCCCTTCCAGGCTTCACATTCACGCTTCAAAGTAGTACGCTTCAATTGCAGTGTTGAACGTATGCAGTAATCTCGGAAGGGGTAAGAAAGAACCGATTTTTGTTTCTCGCGGCGCACGGCACGCCTATCTTGCGGCCGTCGCTTCGGCCACGGCGTGGGAACAAGCCTCAATCCCTGGATGATAGCTTCTTGGCGAAATCGTGTTCTCGCCCATCAGCCTACCCTCATCCTCGACTTGTTTCCCCTTCGCACACGGTCGGCGATTTTGTTTTTCGAACAGGCCCTTATCAGCTCGCCGGAGGCAAACCGTGCTCGCGTGGAGGCCCTTTGGCCGGCGGTATTGGGCTTGGTGGCTGGGCTGGAGGCGCTGGCTGCCGGGGACGAAGAGGACCCCGCCGCGGCTCTCGAGACTTGCATCGAGGCCCTCCTGGCGGCGTCTAGGTAAGTGCGTCGTTCGTGATGATTGCTTTCGTGTAGATGTGATTGCGCAACAGGGGAAGCTGCTGCACCACTTTGGCGGTATACAGTACTGAACAATTGGGACAAGGAAAAATTCACCCACGCACGCACCTGTACCCGTTTCTTGCTGAGTGAGGCACTGCTAGGTGATCGCGATACCCTCTCCGTAGTAACCACTCCCTTGTCTACCGTTCGCTGTCCGTCCGTTGCCTGGGGTGCTGGGATTGTTGACACCTTTGTCACTGGACAGGAGCCCGGACGGAGACAGACTTGTGAGGGACCTCGGATCGCGGGTCTCAAGAGTCGCAGCAAGGCGAAGACAGGTGCTGGTGGAGACGCGTTTGGCGGCGGCGGCGGCGAGTGGGGGGCAAGAAGATGATGCTGCCAGCGCGGAGTACGAGCTTGGACTCTGGTCGGAGTGGGACGCTCTCACTGGGCCGGCCCAGTAGTGTCTTCTGCTGTACCCAGCCTCACTGCTTTTTCTGCCAGCATCAGAGGTTGAGTGATCTGCAGCTCGGTTGTTGCCTGCTAACACGACGGGGACCTGCGAGCCTTACTACCCCGGGCCTTAAAAAATAGCACAGAGATCGCTTCGCGACATGAGAGAGGACGCTATCTGCTGGGCGCCCCACGACAAATCATTTGAGTACCTCACGGCAGTACTACCTTTCCCAGGACGATTTTGTTTTTTCTCGCGCCAGCCAGGAGTTGATGGATTGTGCGGTGGGATGGCGAAAGGATGGGTGAGGGTGCTGTAGATTCGTAGGTTAGGGTTCGACGTTGGATGCAGATCAAGGGTCCTTCAAGAATGTGACGCGATAAGCACACGCGATCTTCTTTTTCTTCCCACTACACGAACGACTCAAGAGATATGCATCCATCTCTTTGCGCGCATTGGATCACGGCCTATCTCATTTACCCTACGGAGATACCTTGAATATGAACAAGCTGTTGGGTTTGATTTGGGGGTGTAACCCCTCAAACGAGCGACATTGATTTGTCGAAGACTTACGGTTAGATTTTGTAGCGCGGAAGCGTGCACTGACAAGGTTCCGACTGTTGTAAGTTCGACGTATGATAGAGGGTAAGCGACAAAATATGGCAAAGCTCTGTGTAGGTTGCCATGCAAAATAGGTGGAGATGGGTGGTGGCATGACCGTGGGAGCCACGGAGACTGTCCGAATGAGTGTCCCAAACGCGTTCCCAACGGCCTGAGGGGTGAAGACGAATGTGGTCGAGGTTGCTTTCCCCCTAGACGGTACATTCATCAGGCAAAATTCTCATCTTAGAATTGAAGATCAAAACGGGTTGTGTGGAAGTAGGTAGCCAAACGAGCAAGGCGACGTGATAACCCTCCATCCTCCCCCGCCGAGAAAATACCGTTTCCATTCTGTTCTGCTAAGCAACTAAGGCCACGGCTCTAATTCCATCTGCTCGGCTAAATGCCCCCACTGCGCCAAAACCTGCAACAAGAGGCGCACGAGTTCTACTTGGCCGGGCTGCTAACGGGGGCGTACATCGTCACCGATTCCTTTCCTCCCAGTCCGGAGTAGAATTCGGTACGTCTCCTGGTATAGTGCTTGTATGTGCCCAGGAGGGCAAACCGGCGCTACTGCTGTATACCGGCCACCGGCTTAAAAGTCCCTCAACACAGCAGTAGTCCCGACTTGGCACTATTGAAGACTGTTCGACGTCAGAGTGCAGCGCTAACGCTTTGCGGGGCTGATGAGTATATTGCCAACCTTTGGTATACAAATCAACTGTGAAATCGGCGACGTGGGCGGCCTTCTTTAGTTTTCGTGAGGCGCCTGGCCTGTCGAAAACATGACTTTGATCACAATGAGATTTCCTTGATCAAATACATTTGTCTTGGTTGCACCATTGTTCTCTTTCCCACCTCAGCGCACACATGGTAGACCGTGCTGCCCGATCAAAAGGCACCTCGCATTTATATGGTGCAATGGCAAGAAGGTTGTAGCACTATTCGGGCAACCTCAAAGTCACCCCGACAGCGAAAGAATGGCGCCCATGCACGCGGTGTACGTTTGGAGGTACAGCGTGAATGTAGAGCTCCTTACGTGAGTACAGCAAGAGCAGATGCGACCCAAAGGAATGAAGAAAGTATCAAACTTCACTCGTCCGTCGATAAAAAACTAGAGAAACGAAAACAAGCCTTCAGCAGCGAGAAAAACCACGTCAAAAAAGAAGCGTCACGCTGCCGTGCAGCTATGCAGATCTACCCCCTGGCCCTCTGCGTAGAGCTGGTAGGATCTTCAGCAGCAGCACGGGTCGTACCCCTACCGTGTTGTGAGGCCTGTATATTGCGTCGATGGCTCTGTGTAGTATTAGCATCGACCTCTAACCGGGTGACCAACGATAAACGTCAGCCTCAGTGCGGTTGAAAACAGGAAATAAGTGTTTCTAAAGGCCCTGATCTGGGACCCTGTGAGAGGGTATCCTGGAGGAGGCTAAGCTGTTCTGATCCCAAGGCAGAAACGGTAGCAACAGACGAGGTTGCACACGCAAATGTTTCGGCGTGTTTTCATCCTTCCTTCCTTGTCCTTGTGTTTAACCACCACAACATTTTACTCTCATCACGAATAATTCCACTATATTCCGGCGTTCATCTCTCTAGACTCTGCACCCGGCGCGTTCGTTGTGAGGAACACGATCTCGCTCGAAACTCTGTTCCCTCCAACGCGATATTTTCCTCCTCCATCATCACTGCTATCCTTCGCTATTCTTCCCTTTCCACATCCTTTGTCACTACCACCATCCTTCCCTTCGCCCGCCTCACTGCTACTGAATTCCCGACGTATTGGCTACAATGGCTGTGGTGGAATTTGGTCGATCGGTAAACCATGACACTTGAAGCCGTCACGAGTTCGCACGGGCAGGAAACGAGTCAGTCTTGTAGCTCGAGGGTAAACCGTCTCCGAATCCTGTTGGTGTGGTAAGGCCCTAGACGCGAAATAGAAGGCTGTGTGTGGTCTGAACCGGCACTATTGAGAGCTACGAAAGTGCGTGAACCGGCATCATAGTGGGCAATCCACAACAGTGCCGGTTTCGCACTATTAAGGGCCGGGTCAAGAAAAGATACCGGCACTATACCGGGACACCTACCGTTTGGCGACCGCTCGAATCGACCCCCCGAGAAATATTGTTTTCACTCTACGAAACATTCAAGGCGACGGTTCTAATTCCGTCTGCTCAGCTACTAGCCCCTCACGACGCCAGCACCTGCACTAAAGAGGCGCGGGCGTGCTCTACTTGGCCGGACCGTTCACGGAGGTGTACATCGTCACCGACTCTTCTCCTCCCTGCCCGGAGTAGACCTCGAACATCGCCAGGGGCTCCGTCATGGTGTACCCGTCCTTCGCTAGTCGGGCCATGAATGAGATCCAGGGAGTCACACCGGGCTTCCCGTCGTGGTCGTCCCGCAGGTACTGCCCCGGCGGGGAGATTACGCTGGCGGTGAAACCGTTTGAGATGGCGGGAGAACCCTTGGCATCCACAACCTCCAGTCCTGGGTTCGGTGCAGTTAGAGCCAATCGCTGTTTTTTAGCTTTTCGCAAGTCATCGGCGAGAGGGGAGAACGTTCGCGTCTTGGGGTACGTCGACATAACGGCTGCACTTCCGAAAAATGTCATGGCTGCTTTGTGCTTACCACCACTATGCGGTATAGCTGCGGCAATCAATGCATACCTCCTCGTGCAACAGCAGTAGCACGCAATTCCGGGCCACGAACAAGCAGCAGGTTTGTACCGTCAGACACCTCCAAAACGGCAAAGGGTGTGCGCTTGCTACAAAGTGCGCACGGTCTCTCGAAAAAGAACGCCCCGGTATTGTTTACGTGTAGTGAAAAACAGAACCAAAATTCCGTGGCTCCGTAGGAGAGTAGTCCAGGAGAGGGGGGGACGCAATTGAGATACCTCTAGTTGGGGAAGTGGGGGGGTTGCAACCCTCGGGATCGACTCACAGGCCTGACAAACTGCACCTGCCGCATGGGCTACATGTACTTCCGCGAGGGGGGTATCAAAATTTTCGGTCGGAAGAGAGTCTACCGAGTTAACCGGGGATAGCAGCCTAGTCAATTCTCATGCGACGCGACGCGTAACGTTGGCAGCATGGAAAACCTTCAATGTTAGCGGAACCACGCGTGTGGTGGATTAGCCCCAGACGCTTTTAGTCGACCCTTGATCACTCCGGCATTCGGAAAATGGAGGGATGGTGGTATGAGACACAACCTTTACGGTGACAAGAAACACCACAGCAAGTAGTCCTTACCGACTGTAACGTCTACGCTCTCAGCATTTTGGTTGGAAAATGCGGTAAGCTCGCGGCCGCCTTCAGCGCCGGGGGTCTGCGCGAAGTGCTCGCGAGCCTCGGCGCGCATCGCGGCGATCTTCGGAGCCACGTCCGCCCAGCTGGTGGACTGAGTCTTGCCGATCACCGTGCGCAGGGGAACTTGTTCCAGCACCATCTTCGCAGGGAAACCAAGGCGTCGTGATATGTTTCAAGGGTTGCAATTTTGCCTTTGCAGTGAGTCAAGGGCGCACCGTATGTGTGTACAATGCGTTGCGTTACCATGTTTCAGTCTGGCAGGTACACGTGTTGGGGGTAGCCCCCCCCCGAACCAACTAAACAAGCTGCCCCCCCCCACAATTCACGTTGTGAACTCGGCAACCAGGTTGCCGTTCTTTTTTTTTACCTCCGTTTTTTTTTTGGCGGTAACCATAATGGTGGTCGAGTAGATCATGTTGTGCGGGGTCGAGAACCCTCACTCCGTACAAGGGGGATGGTCGCACCACGTTGTGTTAAAATGGTCAAGCACCCTCGAGGCAGTTACACAGTGCTTACAACTGTCTCTGGAAGTGAAAGCACCAGAAAATACTGTAAGTCATACGCGGCTGTCATCCGAACGCAAGGAAGTAAGCACAAGATGCCGAACACCCTTAGCAGGATGCAGCGCACCCTTCATGCGACTCGCCGAATATCTCACGGCGCTTTGCGCTTGGTGATGTGAGATCCTGGTCTGGTGAGAACCTGGCGTGCTCCGTCCCGGCTTTGTAGGGATGCGAGGTCAATGGTCTCACGACTACGGCATGCACGACTATGAAAACACCCCCCCCCACCCCAACCTACACCATATTCACCTTCCACCTGTATGGTAACCTATACCGCCGGCCCGAAGCGAGGCGCCCATGGAATTTCCCAGGGTATCTACGCACAGGTTCCCCGAAAACGTCACGACTACGGAAACAACTGTTGCAGCTAGGTATGTAGAGGTTTCGGCACGACTCACCCGGTCCTTCGTGAATAGACCTGCGGCAGACACGGGACTCGGCGAGCCCAGGACTCCAATCGCCGCTGCTCCGCCGAGAACGCCTGAGCAGCAACAAACAGGGCGCGGATGACAAGCGCAAGGAAGGGCGTAAGCTCGGCAAAGGGGCAGCTGCACTGAGTCCACGGCCAGATTTCCTCCTTGCCCGGAATAGGCGAAAATGAATGAAAGGCTGGCTGGCGTATGGGCGTCATTATTCATTGCCAACGACGCACGGCTTCGGAAATGACAATGTATGCCAACAAGCGTGATCGCGAAAGATCCACCGCCTTGTAATGAACAGCAGTATTCTGTGTTTCATTGCATATTTCCAAAGAACCGTGAAAGACCGTCAACTTCTTACAGAAGTGATCTTCACGTCGTGTCGAGCGACTTGACAGCTGTGCATTGCTTGTCTTCCACTTTGAAATGCAATACCTTTTTCTGCAACACGAGAACAAATGCCCCGGAACGGAATGCCCCAAAGTTGATTCAGATGCCGCCGATGATATCGCAGCCGCCCCGCCCGACAGTATAACCATGAGCCGCGGAGCGCAAAGCTCGACCGTTATTTTCCTTTCGTCTCCAGAGGGAAAAAAAAAGGCTCTAAATATGGGCCAAAGTTGCGCCGTAGGATACAGGGGCCCCGAAACTTTATTTTCGGGAAGCCAAACTAACCCACCTTTGTACCCAGAACGAGATCTATAGGGCACTGATTTACGATCTCTTCGCTACTGAGGAAGAAGAAAAATAGCGCGCTCTTCGTCACACCGGCTTGGTCGTGCTTCGGCAACAGATGGCCGTGCTTCACAGGCATACGTGCCCTAAATTCGTAGGAGATCGCTCCCCCCACCCCCGGGGAATTGTGGAGAGGAAAAACGTCCGAGGTACCGGAGACTGTTGCACCCCCCCCAATACGCGGTAAGGAAACAGCATGTAATAGTTCCCGCCGGGAGGACAACACAACTTCAGCGGGAGGAGAACAACACAGCTACCGCCGGGAGAACAACACAGCATCAGCGAGGTAGGGAAGCGTTAGTGCACGCCGATCCCAGGCGGCGCCCTATCCACACATTGACCAGCGGGTGAAAGGACAGAGAACCGGGAATATCATCAGAGAATTGGCGCGAGTTATCAGCGACAGCAACAGTCGATACTCAGGTTGCGCGGGATGGAACATGCCCTTCAGCAGCAACAGCAACAGGAGATTGACAGGTTGCGCACCATGGACCAGGCCCGCCTGGACTCGATGAGTGCCTCAGAGCGCCTCGAGCATTTGAACGGGATCTTGCAGACTGGAAGCGAGGGAGGCCGGTGTAGAGGCGGAAATGAACAGACAGGAGGGCACACGGCAAAGATTTGCCCTTGCCAGGCATGGACATTATGGCGGAATATGACGACGAAGAGATGGAGGAAGCCATAGACGAAAGGCTGGATAGCCTGTGGCCGTATTGAAAGTTGTGTATTGGGTTGATGAAGTGGGCGACACAAGAACGATCCGAACAATACATTCGTCAAAGCAATAAATTCGCATCTCCCGTTTTTTCCCGGAATATCTCGCTGCGTGGTAAAAAAACTATGAAAAGAAAAGGTGTCTCTGCGTGTTTGTGGTTGCCTGGCGCAGAGTATAGGTGGTATATCAAGGACTTGTGTATTGAGCTACGTCGAGGCGTGCTATGTTGTTCTGATCGATCCACGAGCTGCACTGCTGTACGAGTCTGGCCGCTTGAGGCCCGCGCACGCTTCCGCCCGCGCTGATACATGAGCATTCACAGATGTCGACACCACTTACTGACAGTTTGCAACACGGCCGGGTTGCAACGTTGCCACACGAGGGCGATGTGTGCGCGACCGCGAAAGAGAGAGGAGACGCCGAGAGATCAACAAGCAGCACCCTTCAGAGTTCGTAAGACACACACATTGCGGATATGGAATGAACACATATATGTACAGCTCGTAACAACAGCGCAAAAGAGGTTGGACAGGAAAGGAAGGTAATCTAGTCTTCGCCATGCAAACGCACTCACAAGCCACAAACCTGCGCCAGTGCCATCACGGTCACAAATGCCGCAGCTCCCTGCGTTGGTCTAGTGTTTGAGAGTGTCGCTTCGTTTTTCTTCTTCTGTTGGTGTTGGTTTGCGTGTTTCTAAGGCTGCAACCGGGAGGAACATAATCAAAAGTCATGATAATGTGGGCTACATGCGTGCACTATCAACAGGAAAACACGCCCAAAGGCACCGCCGTGACAGCAAATTCGCATCTATTCAATGTTGTACTTGCGTGCAACAACTTATTCATCCAAAAAATAACCGCGTAATGGCACTCGCTAGTCAATAACATTCGTGTGCATAGGCCCGTGAATGTTATCTACTCTTTTCTCCATTATCATCCAATGCATCATCGGAAAGTTAGGCCCGGCTGTTCATTCGTGCACAAGGCACACCGTAGATTGCCTAACACACTAATAGTCTATACCCCTGGACCGATTTTCAAAACTCGATCAAACTCCATAATGAAGAGGATGCCGAAATCAAGTCATTCATCTTACGAAAGCTCTCAACGAGGCCACCCCAACGCCGCTATAATTAACACGGTCATTGCTGTTCCTGCCAACTAATCGAGCCTTCAAGATCAATCCAAAGGGGGGAAGTACATGTATTGCACACTACACGTACAGTACTTGTATGCTCTTCCAAAAGTTCGCTTACGGAAGATTACACAGCAGAGCAGCGCCGCCACATTTCGGCGGGTACAGCAGTAGACAGAGGGTCAACATCGTGCAAGCAGTCTACAGCTACTGTGCAAGAGACGTTGGCGCGTCGGCAGAGAACGACCGATGCTAGACAGAGGCCATGCAACACAGGAGCAATGTGACACCAAAAAAACAAAGACAGCACCTCCGCGAATGAAGCCAGCACGGTCGCAGCTCTTCATCTCCATCCTCGCCCTCCTAGCGCTTGGTGGAGACGAAGCGCCATTGGATGTTGCCACCACGCCGGAGAATTTGCCCGACACCGGCAGCGTTGGCACCATGAAGGCATGGCACTGCATCACAAGCGGAGTGAGCCACGCCAACGCCTGGATCCCCTTCATCATCGTGCTGCATGTGTCGGCGGACCCTCGCGACATGATGTTTTTCGTTGGGACGTGTGGCATGCACGGGTAAACTATCTTTCAGGTAGAGAATTGTACAGAGACGCGAGGCTGGGGCAGCAAAAAAGCCGGGAGAGAAACAGGAGGAATGAGCCCGAATCTGTGATAGGGCAACACGACGATCTTCCTGCTGTGGTGTCTACTGCTGTCTAGTCTTGTCTTGGTGTCAACGGACCCCCCGCAGGGGCTCCGATTTATCAGTTATGTTTGTGGGGGTCCCACTCTTTCCGGGGGGTTCGTGAAATCATCATACCCACAAGTGTAATTGTACCATCATCGCACCCCCCGCGGATGTACTTGATGCTGCTGTACAACCAAAATACCAGCAGTGATCTCACATGCCTCGGTGTTGGTGGTACGGCTGTACCTCTGCCCTCTGCCTATCGTCCTGACCTTCTCTCGGTATCTCGCTTCCCTGTCCTGCACAAGAACAAGAGCAAGCCGTCGCACAGGCACACCGGTCACGTGAGCAATATCCCGGGCGCAGACAAGGTGCCAGTAACCAATGTTGGAGTACGTCAGCGGGTGGCAACAGATAAGATATCTGCTGTTTGACACCTCGCCCAACCAGCACATAGCAGTCGTGCACGACTAACTCCACTGGTACGAATGTGGTATGGCGAAAGGAAGATCGACAAAACGTGGTCTGATCATGATCTAAAAAATGATAATCTCGCTGCGACATGCGTCTCAGAACGCGGTGCGATATCCGAACTCTGTGTTGTTCTCCCCTGTTGTTGCCGGATTTGTCAGGAAAAATAAATACAGTCGACCCCGCTTTCAAGACACACCACGGTTTCCCCCCAAAAAAGTGTCTTGAACGCGGGGCAGTGTCTTTCAAATTCCGGGGCCACTAACGCACCATCCCCGGGGCCAATGAAGGCGAAACATATGTCAAAAGGTGCGCATTCGCAGCAGAAAGGCGACCACAAGAGGTGTTGCTTGAAACCTACGATACAAGGTGATTTCAAGGTCGCAACCACTGCTGCTATTGTGCTGCAATACATACTTGCATACCATCGTTTGAATTTCCCCGTACTGTGCCACCAAAACGCTGAAAGCGATGTTGTTCTACGAGCTACGCATCGTACATGTACACGACGGTAGTGCGCTGGTGTTGATATGGGCTTAATTATTTGCTTTTTTTTTTTTTTAAGCGTTGTCCTCCCCGTGAATATCTTGCCCAAGATCTCGCTACCACACCTGAGAAATATCGAAGGTTGTAAAACGACACTAGGAAAATGTAGGTTACGCAGAAACACAGAGATCAAAAATGTCGGGAAAGACTACCTACCCGTTCGAGATATACCCACAGTCGAACGGGGTGCGGTGGAGTCTTTTCAGTGAGTGCGCCGACGGTCCTCGGTTTCCCAACCCCCAATTCTACAATCTACACACGAAATCGATGTGTAGGCAGCTGTTGACGTTCTTTGAAAATCGCTACGAATCTGCGCATAAATGTCCAGATTTCACTTTGTGCAGACTTCCCTTCGAACCTGATAAGAGCACCATCTGAAAATAACTACCGTATTATTCAAGACGGAACCGTGAGGAACCTGATGTCATGACGGTTGGCACCGTTGTTTGATGTGATCTGCGTGGTGATCAGGAACTGTACGACCACTCTGTTCTTTAGTCTCGGCTCTCTGTTGAATGTCAGCCGCAACACAGCAGTCACCTTTTAGAGTGCCGCGAAGGTCAACCCGACCTCATGTTCTCCTCCTGTTTCGTCGCTAGAATAATGTTGCATCGCGGACTTCTCCCCTTAGACTATTCGCTCAAGGTGGTTGTTTTTTCCTACGGAAACGCGATCGTCAGCGGTCGTGCTTGGCTGTGAATTCTTTGCTTGCCAGAAAGCCCGCAATCCCTCGCATGGTACACCGCCCATAACCACCCCATCTCTCGGCACACGACGGCAAGTTTCGACAGAATCTATTGCGACCTCGAACCCATACAGTGCTGACGATTGTTTCCCGTTTGCTGTTTGCTCCACATTTACAGCAAACGTCCGTTCACCTCGTGTGAGCGGGGGGACAAGAAATTGGCCCATACCAGAAAACAACCTGAGAACGCGGGCCCGCCAATTTTCGAGATGCCCTCGGCCAGGGCAGATGACAAGGCCGCGGCAACGAGGTTCGGCTTATGCGCCGCGGGGCGGAACTCGCTCGTGTTCCTCGCCTTGTCGGTCTTCGCGGGGCGAGGGTGTCTGTCTTTCGTCCCGTTTCCGTGCCCGCCTACATCAGCCAGGTACTCCGCGGCGGTGTCGGCTGTGTTGATGTGGCCCACGGGGTCTCTCGTTGTGTGGTTTTCAGTTGGAGTGCTCAAGCGGTTGCGCGTCGGAGTGAGCGGTGACCGCGTGCCGCTTTGGTTACTTGTTGACTACCGCTCGCTGTGCTCGAACTGTACGCGATTCGACAGAATGAAGCCATAGCCGTACAAGCCGTTCTCGCAGTGTTGCGCCACCAATGCTCCTCTGCTGAACGTCACCGTTCTCTCAATTTCGCAGCAGCAGCAGCAGCGCTGGTGCCCGAAGCGGGGCGTTCGGCCGACAAAGTCGGGTCCGGGGGGTGAGAGGGGACCACATGGGGCCTGCTGACGACGGTAGGCGTGAAAGGACACCATCGTGTCGGCGTCCTACGGAGGGTTTCGTGCTAGGGGCGGCTGGCGTCGGAGCAGCTGGAGGTGAAGGAGTCGAGGAGGAGGAGAAGGAGGAGGAGAAGGAGGAGGAGAAGGAGGAGGAGAAGGAGGAGGAGAAGGAGAAGGAGGAGGAGAAGGAGGTTGATGTGGTGGTGAGCCAGTGGCGTACTGCTGACGGAAGAAAGGAGATGCCCGTAACGTTGGCTAGGGAACGGCTCCTGCTGCTTCTCAGGCGCAGAAGATGTCGGCATAACGGTGTAGCGGTTGGCCCGCTGGTAGCCGTGGGCTGACGAGGAGGTGCCGTTGGCCTTGTTTCGAGAGCTCCTTCTGGCGGCAATATTTGTTTTCGGGCTGGGAATGCACGTTGAACATATTATCTGGTGTGGTCGAGAAACAGACACCGGATGACGCGTCGGGGGAAGGAACGACAAATTATGACAGTGTACCCGTTTCGCGCTGGCAGGTGATTGGGGCCGGCATCGGTGGCCTCACCTGCGCGGCGCTGCTGGCCCAGGTGAGACGCGGCATGAAAAGTGTGTAGTGCAATGGTGGCTTGTAGATAATATATTTAAACAAGGTGGCAATCTATGTATACAAGGGTGGTGTTTTTTTTCGAACGACGGTGTTTTTTTGGTTGTTGCCGGCTCTCGTCGCGAAGATACGTCTTTTGAGACGCTGGCGGTTTCACCCCGCCCTCCTTGTCTCAAAAAGGTTTCCAAGCGTCGGCTGTTAAGAAGACGCGTTGCTGGGCGATGCTCTAGCATGCCCCCCATGCTCGTACACCGCTTCCACTTCGTGTCATTCCCCTTCTCGGACACAGCTCCGTTGCCTGTCCTTCAACTCCAGCTTCAAGCCGCCTTCTATATCGCCAGCAGTCTTGAGAGGGGGTTGACTACCTTCACATTCTCATACAGGCAATGACCGAATAAACGTACGTATGATATATTCAGCGGTTTGCGACTAACCGGGGAGACTGGAGAAGTTCTGAAGCCGGTAGTCGCGGCGACACCCGCGTTTGCTATCGTACCATTTCCATCCACGCGCGCTTTCGCTCTGACGGAGATTCTTGTGACCATCGTCAAGAACGGCGAGAGGAACGTTTCGTCTTTCGTGCGTGCGTATTCTCAAAACTCAGCCTCGAAAGCATTTGTTGCCTTGGCGGAAGAAGCACGGGATTTTTTTCAAACATGATTTTCTTTGTTCTCCCCCGTCTGTTCTTGCTTGCCATGCATGCGAAAAACGAAAGTACGGACTCGATGTGACGGTGTGCGAGAGCCACACCATTCCGGGGGGCTGCGCGCATTCCTTCGAACGGGACGGTTACAAGTTCGACAGCGGCCCGTCCATCTTCAGCGGCTTCACGGGACCCGTTCCTAACCCGCTCAAGCAGGTGGGGAGGCGTGGGTTATTCTTTGTCGCTGCTGTTGGTGGGGTTGTTGTTGGCTGTTGAGCGGCTGCTGTTGCTGCTTCACTCTCGGTGGTGAGACCCTTGTACCTTCACCTTTTGTCGGACGCGGTGGGCGTTGGTATTCTCGGAGGCGTGTCCGTGGCTTACCAACATGTTTGTCCTTCCCTTCGTCCGCGCCCGGCGCGTTGCAAATAGCCTCGCGGTCAACAATGTTGGCGGTTCATCACAAGGTCCGTAGAGCTCGAGCTCAAGTTTCTGCTGCCTGCCCTGTTGCACCATCAGTACTCCTCTGCTCGCTTGTCCGTAGCCCATGTAGGCTACAGCTTGGGCTTGGAGAGCACGACGTCAGGAACATGGACAAACAGTTTTGCCGCCTCCCAGTTGTTTGTATCGTTCCGGTTTGGCCGATTGCACACGCTCGGGACGGGAGGAGGGGTGTACTGTCGCCCGGCACTGATCTTTCGGGTGACCCGCACCCAACATTGTTCCCTTTTCTCTCGTCGAAGAGCAGGTTCTCAACGTGCTGGAAGAGGAGCTTCCTTGCATTCGGTACGACGGCTGGGGTAACCTCACCCCCTCGGGGTACTTCAAGTTTGACCTTGGTGGGTGCCCGTCTTGTTTCTCGAATCCGCGGAGCCCCAGTTTCGCAGCCTCGTGAAAATCGACCCCGTGTGTCTTGTCGCTCGGTCACTTTCATGTATGTTTTATTGCATGAGTTCTGTCTGCGGCCCGGTTTGTGTCGCCTGCTGGGCTGTTTGGATGCGCTTGAAGCGGCAGTTTCATAACGTCGTCGCATTCAAAAGGGATAATACATTGCATCATCGCTGACGTTTGCCATCCACGCATACCATACCATAGGTCAGTGCTGTCATCGTCGATTACTGGCTACCTTTTTGTGATCTTGCGCTGCTGCTGCTGCTGCTGCTGCTGTCGGTGGGGATGTCGTAGGGCCCAGCTCGTTTCGGGACGACGTGCTGAAACGGTTAGGTGGGCCGGACTCAGCGCAGCAGTTCGACCGGCTGTTGAGGGAGTGCCAGCCGCTCATGGAGGCAGCGTCGGCCCTTCCGTCGCTGTCTCTCAGGAGCGACAAGTGGGCCGCGGTCACCATGCTCAGGTCGGTTTGCTACAGCCAGCTGTGTCTCGTTAGCGTCGCCTGGCTGGAAATGATCGTTTCTTAAGAGGTCCCCATGCGCAGGTCGGTTTATTGAGCCGGCTGTACCTCGGTCGGGATCGCCGTACAGGCAGTTGCCCTTACGAAAGAGTTGACCTTGCTCAGAAATGCCATTTTCCTTCCGGTTTTTTGTCGTGTTTCCCGAGTTTTATCCGAGAAATCACTGAGTTCAAATTCAAACCGAGTTTTAGTCGAGGAAGCCGAGGTTAAGCCGAGGTTAAGCCGAGGTTAAACCGATGTTGAGCCGAGGATAAACCGATGTTATGCCGAGGAACCCGAGGTTAAACCGACATTAAAGCCTTCGGGCCGGTGCCTGGTAAAAACAGGTGGAATGAAACGACTAGACGATGGGTACGGTACGTCGCCGTCCTGTGTGGACGATTGAGCGGATGCTCTCTCTCGTGCTTATGCGTCTTCATTGTTGATCGACCGTGCTGCTAACCGCCTGACCAATGCCTCAAACGCCAATCTAGTATATTGCAGAATAAGAACATCTCGAACATGATTTCTCGTCCTCTTGCTTCGGGCGTGGAAAGGGGCATGTGTGCGAGCGCGCATTCTTGGTTGACTTTGCACTGCGGCGTTCGCTTTCACGGGATTTTTTCTTCTGTCTGAACTTTCTTCGCGATTGCCATGCTGGCGCCGCTTCCAACACTCAGCGATGCCTTTTTAGGTATCCACACGTCCCGCGCCGCCACCTCGTTGCAACCGTTCTTCCGGCATGGCAGATTTTTGCCGGGCCTGCTGAGGGTAATACCGTTGGCGGACGAGCTCAACGGTCCTTTTCGGCCGAAAGATCCGGTGACCGATAGGTGAGAGCCGGCAATTTACCAACAGCATCCTGACCGCAGCTGCAGGTTATGTCGACCACGCCTCGTGTCGTGGCCGCCCGACCTCGGCGATAGACTATCTGCTGCTTGGCGGTCGGGAAGTGGTCGTGGGTGCGGCAATACCCAGGGATACCCTGAAAGGCTGGACGAGGAGTGTGATACGATGATGCCGCCCGTCTCTTTGGTCGGATGACCTTTTTTGAGACTGCTGGGATCGGAGCCTGCTTGTGTGCTCTGGTTCACGGCTAAGTTAGCTTCATTGTTTCCTTGAGCTCTATGCCCTGCCTGTCGATCAGTCACGAATTGCTGCTCGTCTCGATTTTCTTTTCGAACGGCGTGGCGTCCACGTCAGTTGGAGCATTTCGGATGTTCGGCACTGAGCAGAGGTTGGAACGGTGTTGTTATGCGAAGACAACAACAACCACAACAACAACAACAACGAGTTCCTTGCGCCCGCAACTCCCCCTCCTCGTCGTGTCTTTTTATGGGAGCAGCTTCTTGTTTAACTGGTTAGATCTGCTGGCGTTTTCGCTGTCGGGGCTGAAGGCAGAGGGGACGAGCTGCGCCGCCATGGCGTACGTCATGGCCGACCTTCACAGAGAGGGCGCCAAACTAGGTGGGAAGACGGAGCTGTTGCTGAATAGACCGTCCTCCTCATTGTGTCGTCGTCGTTGTCGTAGTCGTAGTCGTTGTTGTTGTTGTTGGTGCTTGTACACGAAAGCAGGCGTTTCATATCCAGATAACCCGAACATCCACACACCCTCCTGGTGACCAGCTTGACACCGCTTGGTCTTTGGCCTTTTCTTGCTTTCGGCATTCATGATTTCATGATTTCACGAGCCTTCGCAGCAATGCAGCTATTGGCCAAATGGTACCCGCTCACGCTCCCGGAGAACCTTGAGACCTGGGGGGGGGTGCACTCCTTCCGCTATTTTTGCGCTCTCTTGATGCACATTTCTCGTTGTCTGAAGAACCATCTTGTGGTTCTTTTTGTGAAGCTCGTCTCAAACGTCTGTATCCCTTGTGACAAAAGTGCTATTGTGCTCGCTGCGAAGGAGTGATCCGCTCCGTAGAGGTGGTATCATGTTCTCTACATTTCTTCCCGGCAAAACCGTTTTTCGCTCTGAGAAACCGGTTTTACTCACTCGCTGCTTCCAGTTTGCCGAAACCGAGGGATCGAAGGGGCCTAAAGCAAAACGGGGTGGTCTTACTCACGGTTGTTTGGTCAACATTGGCTGGCTGATTCGTGCCTAGTCACCTCCAACATTGCACGGCTTTCTCTGCGACAAACCGCCTTGCAAGCGGCAAGACACCGTCGAGAGCGGCGCACCTCCGACGCCGCTTGGTCATGCCGCAGTTCTTGTCTGGACGATCCAGCCCAAATCCTGTGCGGAGGGATTGAGATCCCGCCACCAAACGAAGGCAGAACTGCAGCGCGGCTTCTGCAATTCATTGCTCCGACCTGCCGTTGACATACATTTGAAAATCAGTTTGCGCGTTTGCGCATTCACTCAATGGGTGAGTTACTCTGTCTCAGCCATCCCGCATGAGCAGTGCGAATGGTGTGTGTGTGTGTTTTTTTACCGCTCCGTCCCCCTCGGTGGTTACCATCGGGGTTGGGTTTTCGTCGCTTGGCAACGACGTTGTAAAACAAGCCGCCCCACCCGGTTTTGCCATCGGGATTGGGTTTTCGTCTCTTGGCAAAGACGTTGTAAAACAAGCCAATTCACTTCGTGAACTCGGCAACCAGGTTACCGTTTTTTTTTTTACCTCCGGTTTTTTTTTTTGGCGGTAA